CAAATTTTCATTAATTGATAGATATTCAATTTAACTGATTTCGTTTTGAAAAATAATGGTTTTCACATCCGTTGTTCAATTCACGCCACAATTTAAGGCTGGGCGGAATTTATTTTGAAACTAAGGAGCAGTACTATGCATGCGCTCTATAGAAATTCTAGAATTATAAAAAAAAATACGAAAATATTAGCAAAAAATTACTAAATTGTACATATGTAATTAAAAATAATAAAGCAGATCGAAATTTTGTTTACAAACAAAAACATAAAACAGAAATCATTAAAGGAATATTGCCCATAGTCATAGTCGTAAGTTAAATCCCATTCTTGTTAAAATATAGTTTTAAGTTTAGAATAGTTTTTTAAGTTGTGTCAATCATAGACATCTTAGTTTTTTTTAAGATGAGTGAGAAATAATTGAAAATAATGAAATATGAGTACTTTAATTAGTCCACCCTGTGTCCGCTGCAGGATTGCGGATTTAGCAAGTCGGGAAGTCGTGGGTTCGAATCCCACTGCCAGGAAACACTTTTTTCCAACTACCGCAGAAGCAGCCATCTAAGCAAAGGTTGCAAGGTCTTATCGAGTGTATTGTGTGAAAGACTGAAGTCCAGTGTGGCTTTAGACCACCTGCCAAATCCACCATATACCAGGTATTCACAATACGCCAAATCTTGGAAAAGACCCGCGGAAATAGGACCGACTCACACCACCACTTTGACGATTTCAAAGCCGCTTTCGACAGCACGAAAAGAAGTTGTATTTATGCCGCGATGTCTGAATTCGGTATTCCCGCGAAACTAATACGGCTGTGTAAAATGATTTTGAGCATTACCATGAGCTCCGTCAAAATTGGGAAGGATCTCTCCGAGCCGTTTGATACCAAACGAGGTTTCAGATTTATTGTGATGTTGGAGAAGAACTGAGCGCCCCTGTGACACAATACTTAACAAGGGCGTACAATTGCTGGCGTATGCCGACGACACCGACATTATCGGTAAAAACAAGGGCTTAGTCTGTTCTGCCTTCTCTCATTTAGATAGAGAATCAAAGCGAATGGGTCTGGTGGTGAACGAGCACAAAACGAAGTATCTCCGTCATCACACAAACAGTCAGATCATGCCCGATTGGAACCCACGTCATCGTTGACAGTTACGAGTTTGAAAAAGTAGACGACTTCGTTTATTTGGGAACGAGCATTAACATAAATAATAATGTCAGCCTTGAAATTCAATGGAGAATCACTCTTGCCAACAAGTGCTACTTTGGACTGAGTGGGCAATTGACAAGTAAAGTTTTCCCTCGTCGTACAAAAATCGCTCTCTATAAGTCACTAATCATGCCTGTGCGGGTGTAGGGGCCGGACAATGAAAACATCTATTGAAGCAGCTCTTGGAGTTTTCGAGAGAAAGATTATGCCCAAGATTTACGGGCCTTTGCGCTTTAGCGATGGCGAATACCACAAACGATTTAACGATGAGCTGTATGAGCTTTACAGCGATATAGCAGCGAGTTAAAATTCAGCGGCGCCATTGGCTAGGTCATGTCGTTCGAATGGACAGAAACGCTCCAGCTCTGAAAGTATTCAACGCGGGTCGCGATGGTGGTAACTGAGGAAGAGGAAGGCCTCCTCTGCGTTGGAAATACCAGGTGAAGGACCTGGGTTCACTTGGCATTTCCAATTGGCGTCAGTTGGTACAGAAGAGAAGCGACTGGCGTGCTGTTTTGGACTCGGTCAAAATCGCTGGGGACCAGTAGGACGCAGTGGATGCCTTCTGATGTCGCCAAAACATCACCTGCATGACGAGGCGCAAATGCGCCCCATAAAGGAGCACAGCACAATGCTCTGCAAGCAATTCTTAGTAGGGAGCCACATATGTGGGCACCCGAACAGACAATTGCTTGCAGAGGAGCCCACGCCAAGTCATGACAGAAGGCAACCATATGAACTGACGGATAAAGCAACCTCTGGACACGACAGCATATCGACAGGCCCTGAGCGGCTTTCACAGGGAGTCGGTCTCATGTTACGTAAACTCCAGACCTGTGAATGCCGTTCTGGGCACGAAACCACCTGACGTGGACGAGACGGAGCTTCGTCTGCCTCGGAAGACTCGGACCACACTCGCCTAACTTCGATCTGGCTACTGCAGCCGGTTGAACTCATATCTGAGCAGACTAGATGCGGATGTGCCAAATAAGTGTCCGGCATGCGGAGAGACACCCCACGAATCGAAACGCCTCTTCGCATGCCCGCAAAACCCCACTCAACTGACGCCTTTGTCCCTATGGACAGACCCCATAGAGGCTGCACGCTTCTTGGGTCTCCCATTGGTTGAGCCTGACGATAACGACTGAGACTAGCCGATCTGGGCGGGGTTGTTGTAGCCGCTACAACAGCAGCAGCAGCAGCAGCAGCAACAACAACAACAACATTAAAAGGTTAAAATAGTTAGTGCGTTCCACAACGTCTACGATTTGCAGGTTTTGCAGGATTTAGTCCAAAGTCGTTCCCGTACGCCACGTTCACACAATTAGGGGATTCACAAGACGTGTTAACCGTCGTAAAATCTTAAGGTTAACATCTTTTTTAATTAAAATGGTTTTAGGGGATTTCTAACTAAACCGAAATTCTTTTAAACTGATAAAGAATATATAATTAGCCAACCCCCCAACCATTTTAACCGCTATTTTACATAAACAAGTGTTAAGCTTAAGATTTTACGACGGTTAACACGTCTTGTGAATCCCCTAAATGTTTATTAAAGGCGAAAACAGCTGTTCCTGTAAAACCTGCAAGTCCTGCAAATCGTGAAGTACGGGAACAGGCTAAGTGATTACTAGTGTTGGGAGTATCGAGTACTTTTGAGAATCGAGTACTTTCTTTAAATATACATAAGTTGGTAACAGTTCAATGCTAAGTTGGCCGGTTGCTCTGATGTACTGAAGACTTGAAGTACTTGTTACTTATTATCTAGCATGCATGCATTTATATTATACTCGTTTTTCTTACGTGTCTAAATGTAACTTATATTTTTCTTTCAATAAATTTCACTCATTACTATATGCTCAAAGCCTGATTAACACTAATCATCGGTTAACATCGTTATCGACGTTTTCGACTCCATTCATAAAACACGGTGTCGGTAACGTCGATAACGATGTTTAAACAGGGATTAGTGTCAACCACGCTTTGAGCAACCAGCCCTTAGTGCAGAATTTCACTAGGTGGCAGGAGTCTATTCAAATTAAAATATTAATTCCAAATAACGTCGATTGAATGCTACTTTGGAGTACTCAGTATCGATACTTTTGAAAATCGAGTACTGTCGATCCTTTTGAGAATCGACTAACACTAGTTGATTAATATAAAATACTATTTTAATAATTAAAACCTTTTTCTAACTTCTATATGGGTATGAGCCTTTAAGCAAATAACGTACGTATTCTGCATTTGTTCCGTCACTTTGCACTCTGAATTTCCCCTCCATTATTTTGTGGCAGTTTCATAATTCAAATTTAAAATTTCTCTTCCACCAAAAAAGTCCGTTTAGTCATAGTGACAGATGTAAGAACAAAAACAATTCAGATTTTGGGCACTTTAAAAATAATATTTGGCAGCCCTATTTGCCCAAAAATAAGCAATCGTTTCTTGACTGCAACCCTGCGCCCAACAATACTGCCAACTACTGCTGAAAATCAACTCGCACTTTGGCAAGTCTATCCACCATTTTGACTGAATGTTGCCACAATCGAATTTTCGTGTCAAATACCTTCGGTAGTGCATGAGGTTCGGGAAAAAAATCAACTCGGTGAAAAAGTGTTGACTAACTGCAGCGAAAAAGACGCGGAGCACTAAAACTCTCAAGGAAAAATTGCAACATGAACCCAAAGCGAGCAAAATACACAACACTGTCTGCATCTGTAAAAGAAGAGGTCGTTCCAGTGCTGATACACGATCCCAATGCTCCAGGTGGCCCCCAGTATGCCTATGCTACATTTGCTTCATCCGAAGAGGGCGAATCTACGGTTGAGTCACTGCCTGGAACACATGAGACAATTGTGAGCTCAGAAGAGGTGATTATTGACGAGCATGGACGCGCCGTGACCATACAACAGCTAGTCGACAATCATTCCGTAGAAGAGGTGGAGACTGTGGAGGAGAACGATGGCTCCCACACCATTTTGCACATTGTGCCCTCATCGCCCGTTACTGAGGAGGGCAATGAGAGCGGTGGCGATGGTGATGCTAATCTGAGTAATGAAGGGTTGGGACCACGCTCCAAGACTTTCTATTGCCCCAACTGTGGTAATTGCTACAGCGCTGCTGGCTCATTGAAGCTACACATGCGTGCTTGCATGAAGCGACGCGAAGAAGTGCCACCTGAGCAGCGGAAATGCGAAATATGCAACAAGGTATTCAATTCGGTTTCGTATCTAAAGGAGCACATGATGCGACATACAGGTGAAGGGCCAAGACGTTGTACTCGCTGTTATCGTAAGTTTATTGACGAGGAAAAGTGGAAGGCACACATGGAAACTCATAAGCAACAAGATAAGCTTGATGCTGAGGCTCAAGCATTGGCACAGCAGCACGGAGGCAAAAAAATAGTCGTTAAGGAATTTACATGCTCATTTTGCACGCACAATTTCACCGTGGTGTTTGAGGAAGGTCAAGTGAAACGCCGTTACGCCTGCGACGAGTGCCGCGACAAATATTCCAATGTGGAACAGCTAAAGCAGCATAAACAAATGGTGGGGGAGAAACGGGACTTTCATTGCGAACGATGTGGCCGAAAATTTGTGTTCGAAGGCTTTTTGCAGCGACATCTTCCCACCTGCGATGGCACAATAAAACGGCGCCGAGACTTGAAGTAAAGAGTGGCCTGTGACCCTGTTTATTCACTGCAGTTGCATTTGCTGCGCATCCCAGATATGCTTCTTTAAATCTAAGCGCTTCGCTCTAAATCTACCAATTCAATAAGTTTTTTTCGTACCTTATATTACTTGTAACTTGTTTATTTCGTTTGATAGATGAAGTTGTAAATACGCCATTTGGATAATTGGAGATGGTTGAATGCATCCGAAGAGGGGAAGTAGTATCCTGCATACTTGGGACTACGTCCTCGGTTTACTTGAATATTTTTAGTTCTGTGACATGTACATTTTTTGAATTAATAAAGAAGTTATAATAAAGCAAAGATTATTTACTTTTATTTATCTACTAATGCATTCCTAATGCGACGATTTGTTTTAATTTTTCCACGAAGTTGAAAAAGAAATCGAAATATGAAATTGCTTATGACCACAACTTCAGATGAGCGCGTTTGGCATACGATTCGTAGTTGGCGTGTGCATAGAATTCCTTGAACAAAGGAGTGACGAGAGTGTCTTTTGGCAAGGTCTTGTATATGGGCTCGCCGTACCAGGTGCCAACCTAAATATATAGAGAAAGTGAAATACATACAAATGGACTATTGATGTTTTCCCACCTCCCAGCCAGGAACGTTAGCCATCAATTTAGCTTCTTCGTCCCGATTGCGACGCAACTGTTTAAGGTATTCTCGATCACGTTCCGCAAGAAGCAAAGGAAATATGACGTTTTGAGCTGAACGCATTTCAATCTCCTCGCGCTGCACTTTTTTAGCCGTCAGGTAGTATATGTACAAACCGACGGTCGTGACAACAGCATAGCCGCCAATCATTTGAAATCCTAACAATATTTGATTTCATTTGCTTAACATGATTTGCATTTGTTACGTAGCGCTTTTGGTGCTCACCTGTGAAATAGCTCTTTGCTGGCACCCGGAGGAATGGGATTTTCTTGTAGCCGCCCGGTGGAGGCATATCCTGCTTCTTCGTGGCATTAGCTGTAGCCGACATCCTAAGTCGTCTTTATCTGTAATGTATTAAGATGTAAAGTGCTCTTGTAAATATTTAGAAATATTCTTACATCTCAGCTAAAAAGAAATTGGAAATTTTTTCCCGGAGCGCAATTTTGTCAAATTTGACAGCTGAGTTGCATAATAACTAGGGATGGGTAACTCAGCACGTAGCGCAACTATTGAGCTGTAGCGCACGTTCAAACTAACTTCTAAAAAAATATGACTCCGTAACTCAATAAATATTCGCTAAATAGTCGGCAATCAGAGAAAAGATTAAACCAAAGACGATAAAATTGCGAAAAATTTAATAGTTGTGAAAATTTACAATTCGCAACGACTCTACAGCGCATACCAACTCAATTCTGTTAACCAGCTCTACAGTGCAAACCAGCTCTGCAGCGCTCATCATGTAAACAATGCTAACCAACAGCGCTAACCAACTCTAGGCTGTGCTGCCTCGACAGCAGAGTGCCATAGCTCAATTGTGCCACCTCACAGATGGCTTATTAAAAGGAGCACGAATCATTGAGTTAGCTCGCTAAAATTCAAGGAGTTTCCCTACCCTAATAATAACAGCAGAAGCGCCAACTTAAAAAAATAAAGCCATTTAACAACACCAACAGCTGATTGCCGGTGGAAGTATTGGGTGGAAGTAGGCGATTCAAATTTGCGGAGGGGCTCATCCAGGCTTAAAGCCCAGCAGCTCTTTGCAGTTCAGGCGATTTCGAAGTTTTTCGGAATGACTTCGCAAGCGACAGATCCCTGAACCGTAGGTAAATTATTAGATCGGAATAAGTTTTAAACTTTCTCATGCTACCTTTGCCATAGAAAATTAAAAACATAAATTTGGATCCTTTGCACATAGAGTACTATGTCCATATGTATTTCATTGGTATATATAGATTTGTATCATACATATATTAAGGATTTGATTAATACATACATACAAATTACAATTATTTACATTAATTCCTACAAAGGCTAAGTAAGAAAATTTCTGAACGAAGCATTTTCACTTTTGCCCAATTTATCTCTTATTTCTAAAAAAAAACTTAGTTTATTGCTACGAAATTAAACTTAGGAATTGCTTTAATACACATCAAATAAAATTCCTTTCATTTGGGTAAGTAAAATATTAACATAGGCAAACATTCAAGATCTCGACTCGAAAAGAACACCAGGAACTTGTGTCCTTCATTCATTGAATTAAAAATGTATCTATCTTTTCAAAATTAACAGCGACTTTTTTCATATTTTCAGTTTCGTACAGCACCAGAATTTAATGATAGAAAAAAAATTGAGTTTACAGAATTTAAATTATAAATATGTATTATCCATCATGCAAGATTCAAAAGCGAAGAAATTGAACTCCTCATAATATTCCTAAACGAATGTCTATTTAACGAAGGCCTCTGGCGGTATCTTATTTTCTTTGTGAAGTTTGTCAAACACAAATGCAGCATGATTGTAATCCCAATTGGTCTCCTCTAGACATCTGTAGAAAGAAAAAAATACATTTTATTAAACAAATTTACACTTAAGTATTCTCATTTTTTAAATAGCCACTCACTTCTTGCTCCACTCAATGTTCATGTTGCTTTGAGCGCTTAGCGTTTGAACCATCTGTATTTTTGTTGCCTCGTCAACGCCCATCTGCGGCGGTTGCAATGTGGCAGCAGCGACAGCCGATGTCTGCAACGAAAATGAATTGTGAATTGGGATCAGTTATTTATGCAATTGCTGCGCTATACTCACGCTGGGCTGATTGACTTGCAAACGGCTTTGTAGGCTACTCGACAATCCAGGACTGTGTACTGTGGCCTCATTGCCCATGTGTGTAGTGGTAGCCGGCTCGATGGACTTCTTGAAGAAACGTATCTGTGGCTGTGTTGCTACTGTGATCAGCACCATTTCGTTGCGAATACAAAAGCCGCTGCCAGCCGGTACAATTATATACTGTCGCTGGAAGTAGCGCAACTCCTCAGAGTCTTCATCAATGTCTTTGAATAAACCGGCCACAGTGAAAACGATCATTTTCGGCTGCAATAAATGAAAAAAAGACAAACTTAAATGTATTCAACTGCGGAGTAAAACAAAAAATAGGCGTACGATCACCAACTTACCGTGAATAATGTCAAATCGACGGTGAATGAACGTGGATAATGTTTGGTCTTCGGCAGTTCGGCCAGCATCGATACAACGGCTAGGCGACCGTATCGCAGCAAACGCAATCTTATGTTGTCATCGGCGTTTTGGCGGAGCAAACTACGATTGTACCGCCAATATTTCTCAAGCCTATACAGAAGAGAGAAAAATGAATAAAAATAATGCTTCGATCAATAAGTGTTACTGGTAACATACCGGCCGACTTGGCTTGCCGGCGGCACGATTAGCGATAGCATCGCTTGATCATGGTAAGCATCAAGCAATGGCTGCCGGTTGTCCGAATCGAATATCAAGAAGTACTGTTCCAAAAACTGACGTATAATATCGGTGCCATTCGGATCGCACAGGAATGAAGCCTTGGCCTGCGGCATGACAGGAGCCTCTTCGCCCACATCGAACTGTATCATCGGTGTCAGCTCTTCTCCATCCTAGGTGCAAGGTGGGGGTGAATAAATTTTGCGAAAGAACAAATAGCGATTATGAAAGTTACTTACCAATTTCTTCAATTTCGGAAATTTACGTTGGATCTCCCTGTGAATGAACATATTTTTGATGCAATGGCTGGTTAATTGTTCTTAACAGTATGCAGTACATTTTGGAAAAGCAACAGGCAAACAGTGAGAGTTTAAATAAAGAATTATTTTCTCATATTCCAAAATTTTGTTTTTTCTTCATCTTTAAAAAATGTTGGAAGCAAAGTAAAAGGTTTTCTTGGACACAGAGCAAATTGTCTCGCTGAAGCACTAAGCTAATCAATATTTATGAAAAGAAGCAAAAACATCAACAAGCATTAGTATTTGCCGACTTGAATTTGCCATCGACACAGTTGTTCGCAAGAGAAAACGGCTATGCGATGCTCGGTGTGAGTGGGCTATAACATTTTCGCCAGTTTTTGTTTTTAGATTTCTTTATTATAGTATTATTTTTTTTTTAGATTTTTCTTTATTAGAAGAGTTGAGCCAAAATAAATATTTGTTGGCCAATCGCCTTGCTAAATTATTAAACGCGAAATTTTACTAAGTTTCGTAGAAGTTTCTTCTAAAAATTTATTATATTGCGTTCAAAGCTTTTCCCTCTTCATGTTATTTTATGATATTTTTGAGTTATACGTTTCTGTTAATTCAGTTCCAAGCATTTGGCTTCATCTGGTGTTACTGCAGGCTCACACCTGGCAATTGGACACCAAAGTTACACCAATTGATGTATGAAACCTCTATCGAGTTATAACAAGCTCGTTGGCGCTTTTAAACACACCCGCTTCGCTCACCTCAGAACTCAACAATAGCCCGCCAGCAATGCGTACGCGCTCTTCAAATAAACGGTCGGCGGTTGACACATATAAAATGTGCCTTCACAGTCAAAATGCAATGCGGCGAAGGCTAGTAATCGCTCTTTAAAGTGAGGCAACCTGGAAGCACACTCCATATATTTTTCATCCACATTTTTTCCATAATTAGTTTTTTTTTTTTTGATTAAGGATTCCCACTAAGTGGAATTAAGTTAGCTTTATAGAGAAAAGTCTACAAAACTCAGCGAGTTCAAAGATGCCAAATTGGAGGGCAGTGCGACTTTATTTTGTTTTGTATATTTATTGCTGCTCAGTCTCTGTTCTAGCGTCAGACTGCTTCTTTTTGTTCCTTTTTCCTTTTCCTTTTCATTTTTTACTTTTTTCTTTTTTTTCAGCCTTCTTTTCCTTGTTTTTTTTTTGTTTTTTTTACCGAACATCACTTAGCTGAAGTTGAGCTACCATTTTAGCTTCTTTTGGTCAACGCTTGAGTGACATTTTTGCTTCACAATGAAGACGCTTCTTTACAAGCAAATTGAATCCTTTGAATTTGCTTTCTCAGATGCTAAACAATTCGGACACGCGCATTAAAACTTGCGTTTTTTGGCGCTTTCTCATCAGTTTTGCCTTTTGCTTCAGATCAAACAAATCGGAGTGTTGGCGAAGATTTCCAAAATGGGTTTCATGTATTTCTTTTATATACTTTAAATTACTGAAAGTGTAAATCTCATAGATATAAACATGAAGTGCCTGTTCGAAACGAAACCTTCACCAACGCTTTACAACATTTCCTTTCGAAATAAACACTTTTTGCAAAGCACATAACATGAAAACATATTTGAAAATCTACTAATATTATTCGTATGTATGTGTGTAAATATCTGTTGGAATTTGCTGTGGACGCAGGTATTGCTCGCAAAGACGCGCATGTTCTTTGGACCCGCCGCAACCGACGTTGAACACTTGCATCACCAGTGAGACGTGTTACAGCACTGCGAGAAGCGTAGCGGCCCATTCCGCGCGCGCTCCTCCATAACGACGCAACACTCTTCCATCCATTTACGTTTTTAAACCATTTTTCATGCGTTGCACCCAGTTTTATCAGCTGGTCAGTGCAGTGCAGTGCAGTGCGGTTTCCCAAATTAGAAATTCAATTTTTGATACCTGACGTATTGCGCGTGGTCTTTGTAGCGACTGCATAATCCATTATTTTTCAATGCTAATTCAACGAACGGCACATGCCGTAGAGCAATCAAATGTGTTGCGGTGGGTATCTGTATCAAATAGAACAAAAATATATATTAAGCAATCTTTGAATCATACTTATATATGTAGCTCACAGCAATACTTACCCTATTGTCGGCCAAGTAGAGTATGCGAAGATTCGGTAGACGCACGTGCGCATTCTTGAATGCCTCCATGGACGAAATGTTGTTGTTGTTCAGATTGAGCGCAACCAAATCTGGTATATTTTTCTCCATTATTTCGATGGCTGCAGCCATTACGGGGGTGCGGAATACGCCGCAAAAAATGCCTTTGAAATCGGGATCGGTGTGGAAGCTGGACATGTCCAGCGCCTTGGTATGTGCATTATAACGTTTTGCCATCACCACTTGCATGCGTGCCTTGAGCTGGTCGTTGACTGGCGTCGACGGACAGGCGGCACGTACGCGCAAATACGGTCGAAAGCCGTCGGGCATCTGAACAGCGCGTTCGAGGCCAT